CTAAGTTACTGATAATTGGAAAAGTTGTAAGGAAATTTCTTTAGAAAAAAGTAGTGTTTTATAGTTTAGGAAACTTCTTAAGTATTTGAAATAAGTATGTTTGTAATACTTCATATAAAATGCAGATTTCAGTAATGATTTATTTGAGGTTTTTAGTGATGGAAATAGGGAGGTTTTTTTTTTCTATTTCAGCTGTTGCTTTTAAAAATGCCAAACAGTTTGAGCAAGCAAAAGACGCCTGCCTGAGGGAAGCTGTTGCCCATGAAAATAATAGGGCGTATCTTTTTCAACTGTTAATAAGAAATTAAACTGTTAGATGATTTTGACAAACTGTTTTCTCTTGCTGTAAATTTTCTTTACTAACTGTGAAGTAAAATGTTTTTAAGTTAGAAAATTATTAGAAAAATTCTGTATTTTTAAACTCTGAAGGAGTGTTTGTAGTGAAGTTTGATCATAAAGTTCACACTGGTTCGCAGAGCTACATTTGAGAACTTATTTTCTATTGTTTGTGGTTTTACTTGATGATGGTTTTACTTGGGATGAAGTAAGGGAAATCTATAGACATGTGCTGAAGAATGAAGAGTAGCACAGGTACTGAAAACGCATGAGCTACTATATCAGTTTTTTTTTTTAATACAGTTTTCCTTAGGTATTTGAAATAAAAATTATAAGTAGTTTAAAACAGTATATTTTCCTGAGGTATTTGAAAACTTATCGATAAAAAATGTTTCTCTTACTTGCAAACTGTAGTCATAATAACTTTGCATTTCGGTAAAACTTCAGATTATTGCATAATAGAAATAGTTTAAAACCTGTGCAGTGTTTTGGGGAATTATGAAGTTTTAAACGATATCGACAGGCATTGAATTATTTCTTTTTACCTGTTTGTAGGATTTGTCTTTTGGAACCAACTGGGTCAGTGATTTAGTTAACTGTCTTTAAATACTAGATCTGTAGAAACTATTGGGTTTTTTTTTCTTTTTTCCTTAACTTTGACTTCGTTGCTTCCATTCAGTCTTTTTCATGCTGCCAAGTAAGTATTCTTCATGTGTTCATGTATTTGCAAATTACGTTTTAATGTCATTGTTTTTCTGTTGGTTGGTAATTTTTTCCCAAATTATAAATTTTGTATTGATTTAAATAATCATTTCTCTTTGTTTCAGTTTTTACCTCAACATTAAAAACTAAGTCACTCCTAACTCTAAGATGTAAAGAGTTTAAATTAAATTTGCCATAATATATTATTAGGAGCATTTTGTTCAGTAGCCTATGGGGAAAAAAATAAGTTAGAATCTCTGTTTTTCTCTGTTTGATAGTTAATAGTGCCTGTGGAAATGAGGCAGGAAGCTTTCTCCTGCCTTGTGGAGAGTAGTTATTTGTTGGCCAAGGCGGGCAGATCACTTGAGGTCAGGAGTTCAAGACCAGCCTGGCCAACTTGGTGAAACCCTGTCTCTACTAAAAATACAAAAAATTCGCTGGATGTGGTGGCACATGCCTGTAATCTCAGCTACTGGGGAGGCTGAGGCAGGAGACTTCCTTGAAACTGGGAGACGGAGGTTGCAGTGAGGTGGAATCATGCCTCTGCACTCCAGCCTGGGAGATACAGCAAGACTCCATTCCCCCCGCCGGTCCCAAAAACAAAAACAAAAAAACTTAGATTTAGGTTTGCCAGATGGAAATTAATTTAACCTTACTGAGCCTTACTTAATTTTGCATCTGCAAAATAAAATCTCTTTAACTCAAACGTCTGATGTTCTAAGCCATTATTCCCCATGAAAAAAGAATAAAAAATTATATTGTGTGGTAATACAAACCTGAAGTGATATGTTGTGCATGAGCCCATTTTAATTGAAGTCACTTTCCTTATCAGTAGTTCCTCACTAGAAAGTTTCTTATACCCCTCATTTCATTAAGATCTCATCAGAGAAATTATATTCTCTTTGCAGAGCTTATGAGCAAGCTGGAATGATGTTGAAGGTCAGTAATGTTATGTCACAATTGTTGTGTAGGTAAAATGAATTAACTACAAAGTGTTAAGAATTTATGTTGGAGTTGAAAAGCTTCCTTACCGTAAGGCAAGAGGTGCTAAGTGTAAGGTTTATGTCCATTGTAACATTAATTGGACCCATAGAATACATTCTGTACATCTTAAGGAGTGTTAAAAGTGAAATATAAGAGAGAATGTATCAGAGGGAACTGGGAACAGTAGCGTGTTAAGCTCTATAACCAGGATAGATGTGTATTGCTATAAAAAGAGCTTTATGGAAAGTTTCTCTACTTTTGAGAAGGACATCTGAATGTAGTAAAATTTTATAAATATTTTAAAAATTATCATACATGAATTATAGAAGACATTTTTACTTGTGTGAATAACAGTTGGCAGCAGAGACAACCACAGATTTAAGCTTTTGCTACTTTAATTCATTCTGCATGGAATATTCCGACCAATGTGCCTGTGCCACTGTTTGTACTTCTGCTCCTCAAAAGCAGGCTAGGAGTTAATGTCCTGCTGTGGTGAGACAGAACATACTACTTTATGATGCCGACTCTCAAAGTATGCCAGCTGGCAGTCGAAATAAAGTACTTGTCTTTCTTTTTTTAAAATGTTTCATCTAAAATGGTAAAAGCTACTTTCAAGTATTTATTATAAAGCTTTGTTTTTAAGAATCTTTACCTTAGTAAAGCTTTTGTTTTTAATTTC